AAGAGAGAGAGAGAGAGAGAGAGAGAGAGAGAGAGGGAAGAGAGACGAGAGAGAGGAGAGAGAGACGAGAGAGAGAGAGAGGAGAGAGAGAAGAGAGAGAAAGAAAGAAAGAAAACAAACAAACAAAGAAAAAGCAAAGAGAGAGGGCACATATAATACAGTAACCCATCTATCCGTATGTTTTTTTCCCTCCGATTCACAGTCTTATCGTAAATATAAACACCCTTTTGCCTCAAGAGATTGTTCCCTCTGGTTCCGAGAAGCGCCACTGATCGAACGAGAAAGAGAGCTTTACGTTAATTATTTCCCCTCGTTATCACTCTCTCTCTTCCCCTCTCCTTCTTCTCTTTTTTATACATCAGGCCAACACAGTTGAACGCAGAAGGCTTTACTCGTTTAATTATTCCCACTCTTATCGACTTCTCCCCTCTCTTTCCCCTCTCCCATCTTCTCCTACTCTTTTCTAGCGCTCAGGTCTTATAACATCACCGCTTAAGCTCCTTAATCCTTTAGATCTCTCGTTTCTTTTCCTCTATCCTCAATGAGAAATAGAAATATGTAACAATTATGTTGTATTCCTCTTTTTCTTATATCTCTCTCATCTATTTCTTATCGGTTCTATTATTCTTTCTCTCTCACTACTCTCCCATCTATTTTCTACTATCGTGCGTCTCCCACTGTCTCTCTCACTTATTACATATTATCTCCGCTCTCATTTCTCTCCCGTCTCTCTTCATCAAAATCACCATACTTCTCTCTCTCAGCCTCTCTTTTCTCTTTTTCTCTCTCGAACCCTCTCTTTTCCTTTCTCTTTCTCTTATCATCTCCTAAAAACATCTCACTGAAAAACTATGAATACTATGTGCCATCTACTCATCATCTTCTCTCTCTCTCTCTCTCTCCTCTCTCTCAAAAACTGGTGGCAGCTATTCCTATTCCTATCCTATCCTCAATTGATGCCTTTCCTCCCTCACTCATATTCATTGCCCTCCCCACCATCTTACCCTCCCCCGCCCCTCACCCCACCGACCCACCTCTATTGAGACCTCGACCCCCTGGCACTATATAATACACTTTCCCTTCAACCTCACTACCCACCAACCTCCTTCCTCCCCATCCTGCCTTCCTCCACCCCCCCCCCTTCCCCCCTTCACCCTCTCGCGGCGGCTCAACCCACCAGGTTGAGGGAAAATGCGTTAAAAAAAATAGAAAGTAAAGAAAAAATAAAAACAAAAAAAGAAATTGTGAAGAAAATGGTAAAGAAAAATAGAATAAAGGAAAAATAAAAACAAAAAGAAAATTTGAAAAAAAGATAAAGAGAAATTAAATATAAAGACAAAAAAGACGAAGAGAGAGAAAACGAAAAATAAAAAAGGATAATAAGGAAGAGGCGGAAAAATGATAGTAATTATATATTAAAGCCATCCCTTTGTATTTTTGTTGTTTTGCATTCTATTTTTGTTG